TTTTTTTTTTTAAAAAAAAAGCAAGCTATAATAGTAAGTTACACATAGGATGGAAAGTGTATTCAGTTCTTGCTAAGAGTGATTTATGTTTTTCGAGCTGGTGATTGTAAAAAGTTTCAAATACCTTAGACACTGGATTTTTGGGCAGAAATCTTTAAATAAGCCAAAGGTCCTTCAAAGATTAAAGTTTTAAATTAGCCAGCCTTTATTCATTCATTATATTGCTTACCTATTCCACTAATTATGTTATAAGAGAACTAAACAAGCTGGATTTTTCTTTCTTGTTGTCTCTGTCTTTTTGTTTTGCTAACCCCAATTTCACTAAATGCTGTACACTAACGAACCCAAGAACTATTTTAAAAGGTCTATGATGACCTCTGGTGGTCAATTAATGATTGGTTACTCCCAACTCATTTACTACCTGTCAGAATGCGAAGAAATCCATATAATTAAATGATTTATTTTAAGAAACAAACTATATGGCATAAGCATGTGACGTTGATAAATATGATAGTAATGCAATTTTCTTCTTTCTTTCAATATTAAATGCCTTTTAAATATGTTTTGAAGTAGAGATATGAGAAGACACTTGCACATTTAGCCAGTTACCATAGAAACTAAACAAGCATCTCAGTGCTGACATTTCAAACTGCTTTTGAGAGAATGTTTCTCTTCCTTCAACAACAAATTACATTAGTTTCATGATCATCATCACAAAGTTAGTAACTAGCATGTCAGAGACATTTTTCTCTTCACAAGTACAAATTCCGTAAGATAAACCACCAATTCTCATGTCGAAAAGCCATTCCAGTGAATCAGGAAAGAATCACACAAAAAATTAGGTATTATATACTATTTGAAAATCCTGCAGTAGCCCAAACGCCAAACATTAAAATAGTAAATACTGACAGCATAATAATGTCATAGTTATTATCATAGAAAATATTCATATTACAATTTTATAACTAAATGGAGTGCCAGCGGACTCTGGTCATTACTGAATTAAAACTGAGAAGATTCAATATTAGGTCCATTCTCAGCCATGGAAATTCATTCTCAGCCCAAGAAATGTGGCAGGATTTTTGTAGGGAAGAATTGGAATGGAATCATACCAATATGACAAACAAACAAATACATTAATGAAACAAGAGCAAAAACGCACATTGGAATAGAATGTCATAAAAGGTGCATAAATGCATTAAGGATGATTAAGGAACATTGAAAGACACAAATGAAGATACCAACAAAAGATTAGTTCCCTCTCACACATAATGCAGAATATTACCTGGCACAGCGAGTATACAACTGGGGACAATAGTGATGCCTGTGTGACACATGGAGGGAATATTCCATAATCAGAGATGAATTAATAGGATTCATCATGGGCTCAAAAGCTACTGCCAAATCTATACCTGAAGACAACAAACATGTAGAAAAGGTAACTCACAGACTGCATTGACTCTTCAGCTAAACTTCACTAAATATTGTTTCTAATGTCTGGTATTAAAATTACTATTAATTTAAGTGTTTAAATAAAGAGTGTTGTCCCAATAGTCCACCTGCACCTCCTCAGCACTTAGATTATCACACTACTAAAATTCAAAGGCAAAAATCAAAATCAAGTATTTGAATGGGAGCAGGAGGCCCCTCAGCGGCCTCTAACTCCGACTCCTGCCCTTCAAATGCTGAAAAAAAATGTTCCTCCTGTAACTTAAACCCTTCTTCTGGTAATGTGGTTTACAGTCATCTGGGAAATCAGGAGGTTAAATTGCAATTCCCAGTCTTGTTATTTACTAAGAGAGGAAGCAAAAATTATAAACCAGTAATGGTTAGGTGATTCATTGAATTATTGTCATCCATTCTTATTTTTGTACTTATTAATATCAAAAGCCAGAAAACAAAATAGATTACTATAAACAGCAGACAGCATTTCAACAAAATCCCTAATAAAGATAGGAATATATTTCAAATACATCCTAATTCCTTTGTATTTTTATTATTCTTTTTGGTAACGGAATTTATTCTTATTATATACTGTTGTATATAATTCTGTTGTAATATACATTTCCCTTAATTGAATACATTTTTATTACTTTGATATTTTTTCCAGCTAGATTCTTAGTGCCAAACATTGCCAATGCATGTTCAAGATCAATAGCTTGTTTGCTTTTAGCGTTCCAAATGTAATTGATCATATGACAGAATAATAATTATCTAGCACATGGAAAGTTCTGATGAATCTGCTTGTTCTGATACTAACAGAGGTAGTAAATAATCAAGGTAGCACTTATTTGAGTCTGCTGCTGATTTCTTAAAATTGCATTGGATCAATGAAAAGGGAGAAAGGTTTTAGGAGCCATAAAGAACTTAAACAAATCCTTACCTAAGTCCTCTTGAAATGGTATGAAGAGAAATATGAAATGTAATTCTGGTACAGTTTTAAAAACAGTCCTGTGAACAATATTGTATTTTATTTATTTTCTGTTTATTTTAGGTAAACAAATTATTGTACACCATAATAAGAGTCATGTTTTAATTTTCTTTACCGAAGTAGAATGATCAGCAAGATAATATTTTCATATAATCTCTACCAAAAAATAGATGTATGTTCAGAGCACAGGAATCAAGTGAACATATGAAATTGTGATCAGATAGGCAAGATCACAAATATTTGCAAGATGGGAGCTGCCATTCTAAGAAGCTAAAAGACCAAAAATTAACTTAACTAATTTTCTGGAGAATTCATGCAAGATGTTCCAAGACTTGTATCTTTTTTTTAAAAAAACACCTCACAACATTTTATTTTTATTTTTTACTTTAAATATAAATGGGAAAGTGGCTGCAGTGAGTGCTGTGTTGCTAATCCCGAGATTAGGCTTGCAACATATGAATGTGGTAAGTAAATTTATTGAACTATGGATTATATATACATGACTGCTGTTCTGGTTATAGTTTCATGTCAAATTCAAGATCAAGTCTAGATCAATAGATTTTTTTTATAACAGATCTTCCACGTTATACAAAGCTATGCCCAGTTTACTGAGAACATTTTAGGAAGAGAATTATGTTAATGTGGGATAACCAAAATTCAAAAGGGGGTCAGCAACTCCTTTTAAACTAATTCATTTTTTATTTTAAGGCATAAATTTAAGCTTTGTGATGAACTGAGATGTAGCTCATGAAAGATTATGCCTTAACCTTAATGCCTTAAACATAAGATAAAAATGGCTTAGTCTTACAGTTGGCACTGTAAGACTAAGAATCCTTCTAATTTTTGGTCAGCCTACAGAGAAATGCCAATTTTTTATATTAGTAAACATTTTTGAAAATATTTACAGATTTTGTGTGTGTGTGTGTATGTATGTATTGTGTCACAACCCCTGGTATGCCCAAATATGGGAAGGAGCATACTGCTTCCCTTTTCTGTCTTATGTGCTCACTCTGGGAGCCATCCTGGCAGAAAGCCATTTTTTTATGTTGCCTTT